AGTTATATCTTTAAATGCTCTTATGATAATCTGGCCTAATTGGGTCTCATAACAAGCTTTCTGCAAATTTGTTTTTCTGTCCACCATTACTTGATGTTTTATGAGGTAATACAATGAATAATGAGTAAGGTACAAGACATTCATGCCTCGAAGTGTACTAGGGAGAGAGCTGAGATGAACTGGAGTAAGGCAGCCTTCTACTTGCTATGTTGTTATTTTTGAACCCAAGTACAAGACAGAGGAGGCAACATCAGAAATTCATCTGAGAAACAAAACAGGGTTTTTGAGTGGGTTGAAAGCTCAGCATAAGTCAATGCTGTGCCTGGCCACCAAAAAAAAAAAAATGCTTGTGCAATCTTAGGCTACATGAAGGGAAACATTGTATCCAGGACTGGGGAGATTCTATTCACTCTGTACCCTGTGTCAGTCAGATCCCTGATTAGAGCATTGCGTTCAGTTCTGGGTACCACATCCTAGGAAGGGAGGAAGTTGTTAACAGTGGCATCCCCCACCTCTCCTCTCCTTTTTCCACCTCCTTGTCTCAGTGCTCGCATCTGCTCCCATGCATTCAATGCCCATCTCCATGAAGATGACTCCCAACTTTGTATAGAGAGCCCTAATCTTTCTCCTCCTGGTCCTGCATTACCCAATTGTATGTGTCATAGGTATTTGAAACTCACCATATCCAAAAAAGAATTTAGCATATTCTCCCTCAGCTCCACTCCCCTCCTCCAAACTTCCCATTTCTGTAGAAAGCATCACTATTCATCACCTGGGTTTGGAAAGCTTAGCCTGTTCCTCAGCTCTCTCTTTCCCACACTAATAATGACAGCAACAATGACAACACTTTAAAGTTTGTTTTATCTTCATAATAGCTTTGTGACGTAAGTGCTATTATTTATCTCTATTTTACAGATGTAGAAACTGTGGCTGAGAGAGGTTAAGTGACTTGCCCAGAGTCATATAGCTTATAATTGTCAGAGGCAGGATTTGAACTCATGGTCCTGACTCAAAGTCCAGATCTCTTCACTGCACCCTCTAGCTAATTCATATCCAATAAGCTGGCAAGTTTATTATTTATTGTGTTTATATAGCTATTATCTGTTGATTTTTTTTAAAAAAGCATTTGATTTAGAGTATCAAAACGTAGACTTGAAGGCCCTCTAACAAGCCATCTCCCGTGTCAAGTTTCTGCTTCCATAACATCTTTACTACTGTCCATCTCCTCCCCATTCTCACAACCACCATCGAAGTTCAGTCCCTAATCACCTCTCACCTGAACTGTTTCCACAGACACCTGATTGATGTCCAGTTTCCAATCTCTCGCATTTCAAATCCATCCTTCACACAGCTGCCAAAGTAATTTTCCTAAAATTTCTATCAGACTGTGTCACAGACCTGCTCAAGTCATGCTCAATGGCTTCCCATTGCCTCCAGGATAAAACACAAATTCCTCAGCTTGACATTGAAATCCCTCCCAGTCTGGCTTCAGCCTACCTTTCCAGGCTTATCATACACAACTCCCTTCCAGACGTTCTACATTCCAGCCAGTCTGGCCTATGCTGTTCCCCAACCCGACATGCCATTTTCCACCTCCATGCCATTTCACAGACTGCTTTCCCCTCTCCCTGTGCCCAGAATGTACTCCCTCACCTCTGTCTCTTGGAATCCCTGTAGGAAGGCAATACTGATCCCTTTCTTCTCACTCCCTCTTCAGATTTTTAAGTGTATACTTAGTTGTTCACACATTGTCCCCTCTCCCTCTACAAACTTATACAACTAGGAGAATTCAGCACTTAGCACAGTGCCTTGCACACAGTAGGTACTTAATAAATGCTTGTCAAATTGGATGAACTGGTGTCTCCAGATGAGGGCAGCCAGGATGGTGGAGGGGTTCAAGATTAGGGCATTAAAGGATCAGCTGGAGGAACTGGGGATATTTAGCTTGGAGAAAAGAAGAATGGGGTGGGGGGGGAAGAAGGGGAAGGGAGTATGTTGCTTGCCTTCAAGTAATAGAAGGACTACCCTTGTTGAAGAGGATTAGCTTTGTTCTGCTTGGCCTCGAGGGCCTGTACTTAATTTCATCTCCAGTATCTCCCCAGGACACTTCAAGGGCTGGTACTCTGTGTGTCTTCTACTTATTATTAATTGTATTAACCTCATAAAACAACAAATAAAGGTGAAGGGGAAATGAGTTTGCAGAAAGCTTGTCATGAGACCCAATTCGGCCAGATCACCCTAAGAACAGACACATGAAAAACAGAAAAGTGGATTTAGGCTTGACAGAAGGAAAAGCTTCCTAACAATGAGGACTATCCAAATGCTTAATGAACTGTCTCCGAAGGTAGTGGATCCCTTCTCATGCAAAAGCTAGATAACTACTTCTTATAGATAGGACCCTTTTTCAGATATGTATTAGACTAGATGGCCTTTTTTTAAAAAAATCATTATTTATTTATTTTTAGCACCCTTTTTTAAAATTTCCTTCACCCATTGAGAAGGCAAGCAATAGGATACATGTGAGGTCATGGAAAATGTATTTACATATTAGCTATGTTGCAAAAAGAAAAGCAAGCAAAATAAAGTGAAAAAAATTATGCTTCAATCTGCAATCAGACTTCAGTTTTCTGTCTAGAGGTGAATAGCATTATTCATCAAGAATCCTATGGAATTGTCTTAGATCATGGTATTTATCAATCAGAGAAGCTAAGTCTTTCACAGCTGATCATCATTATAATATTGCTGTTACTATGTGCAATGTTCTCCTGGTTATGCTCACTTCACTTTGCATCAGTTCATATAAGTCTTCTCAGGTTTTTCTAAAACCATCCAAAAACATAATAACAAAATTCATCTGGAAGAATAAAAGGTCAAGAATATCAAGGACATCAATGAAAAAAAAATGTGAAGAAAGGTCATTTCTTAGAGCACAATAGTATTCAATCACAGTTATACACCACAACTTGTTCAGCCATTCCCTAATTAATGGGCATCCCCTCAATTTCCATTTTTTTGCCACCACAAGAAAGCTGCTATAAATATTTTTGTACATACAGGTCCTTTTTCCTTTATCTCTTTGTGAAACAGACCTGGTAGTAATATTGCTGAGTCAAAGGGTATGCACAGTTTTATAGCCCTTTGGGTATAGTTCCAAATTGTTTTCCAGAATAGTCAAATTCATTCACAACTCCACCAATAGTGCATTAGCGATCTAATTTTTCCATATCCCTCCAACATTTGTCTTTTTCCTTTTCTATCATGTTAGCCAATTTGATAGGTGTGAAGTAGTACCTCAGAGTTGTCTTAATTTGCATTTCTCTAATTAATATCGATTTAAAGCAACTTTTTTCACATGACTATCAATAGCTTTGATTTCTTCTTCTGAAAACTGCCTGTTCATATCCTATGACCATTTACCAATCGGGAAATGGTTCTTATTTTTATAAATTTGACCCAGTTCCCTATATATTTGAGAAATGAGGCCTCCATCAGAGAAACTTGCTGAAAACATATTTTCCCAATTTCCTACTTTCCTTTTAATCTTGGCTTAGATCTGACAGGTACACTTTTCCATGTTTCCTACATTTACTTGTGATATCACCCCTTATGTCTAAATCATTTATCTCTTTTGACCTTATCTTGGTATTCAGCATGAGATGTTGTTCTATGCCTCATTTCTGCCAAATTGCTTTCCAGTGTTCCCAGCAATTTTTGTCACATGTTGAGTTCTTACCCCGAAAGCTTGGATCTTTGGGTTTAAAAACACTAGATTGACTATGATCATTTACTCCTGTGTACCGTATACCTAATTTATTCCACTGATCCAAACTCTATTTCTTAGCCAGTACCAAATTGTAGTGATGATTACCACTTTGTAATATAATTTGAAATCTTCCTTCTTTCACAGTTTTTTTTTCATTGATTCCCTTGATATTCTTGATCTTTTTTGCTTCCAGATGAATTTTGTCATTATTTTTCCTAGGTGTATAAAATAATTCTTTGATAGTTTGATTGTTATGGCACTAAAGAAGTAAATTAATTTAGATAGAATTATCATTTTATTATATTGGTTTGGCCTATCCACAAGCAGTTAATATTTCTCCAGTTGTTTAAAACTCTTTATTTGTGTAGTAAGTGTTTTGTAATTGTGTCCATGAAGTTCCTGGATTTGCCTTGGCATGTAGACTCCCAAGGATTTTATGTTGTCTATGGTTATTTTAAATGGTATTTCTCTTTGTATCTCTTCCTGCTGGACTTTGTTGGTAATGTATAGAAATGCTGATGATTTATGTGAGTTTATATCCTGCAACTATCTCCAGTGTTGAAGGGGATACACTCAGTCAACAAGCATTTATTAAATGTTTACTATGGGCCAAGCATTATGCTAAGTGCAGGGGATACAAAAAAAAAGGTGAAAAAATATGATCTCTTCCTTTGAGGAACTCACATTCTAATGGGAAAGACAATATATAAATAACTATGTATATTCCACTACATATATAAAGTGTATAGAGAAGAAGAGGGCATAGATACTACTCTCAGAGGATTTTCAGTCAAGGTCAAAAGACAAACCTAACTCATATAAAATAGTTAAATATATTGAATGTGTGAGTGGATGAATGAATGGACTTGGGTACCAGCAGTCCTACTCAGCTTTTACATCATTGTGTCCTCTACCTTGCATATGGCTTTGTAAGTTGTAGGTGCTAACTAAATGACTGTTAAATGAATGACGTGCCCCTTAGAGAGTCATATGGTACCATCATGCTCAAATGAGCTAAACATTGCATGCATCCTGGAAGTGGTATCCTATACCCAGTGAGCACTCATTCAGCATTCATACTGGTACCTGGGACTGTACCTGACACATTATAGGTATTCAGTAAATGCTTGTGGCCTGATTGTTTGTTGACATTGACCCTGACATGGTACCTGGGCTATTGCTACAATACTGACTAGTTGTTTTGGTTTTTTCCCCTATTTTCTTCACCTATGCCTAGGGAAGATTGAGAAGATGGTGGATCACCTGGTGAACACTGAGATCAACAGCCAGAGAATCGCGGCCGTGGAGAGTTGCTTTGGCGCATCAGGGCAGCCTCTGGCATTACCAGGTCGGGTGCTCCTTGGCGAGGGCATCCTGACTAAAGAGTGCCGCAAGAAGGCCAAGCCACGAATCTTCTTCCTCTTTAATGACATTCTGGTCTACGGCAGCATCGTGATCAACAGACGCAAGTATAGCAGCCAGCACATCATCCCTCTGGAGGAGGTGACCCTGGAGAGCCTCCCCGACACCTGGAATGCCAAGAACCGCTGGATGATCAAGACTTCCAAGAAATCGTTTGTGGTGTCAGCTGCCTCCGACACCGAGCGGGAGGAGTGGATCAGGCACATCGAGGAGTGTGTGAGGCGCCAGCTGAGGGCCACAGGCCGCCCCCCCACCATGGAGCACGCTGCCCCCTGGATACCGGACAAAGCTACGGACATATGCATGCGCTGCACCCAGACCAAGTTCTCCGCCCTCACCCGGCGGCATCACTGCCGCAAATGTGGCTTTGTAGTCTGTGGGGACTGCTCCCGGGAGCGCTTTCTCATGCCCCGCCTCTCATCCAAGCCTCTTCGAGTCTGTGGCCTCTGCTATCGGGAGCTGGTGGCAGAGAAGCGCAAAGAAGAGGAGCGGGAACCAGAGGAGGAAGGGCGGAGGCAACCCCAGCAGGACCTTGCTCACTCACGGGGGACAACCTACGGGGCGTCCAGTGGTGAGGATGAAAGCGATAAGTCAGATGAGGAGAAGGACGGGGGCTCAGCTGGTTCCTGGCCTACGGGGGTGGAGTTCTATGCCTCTGGGGTTAAATGGTCATCCTTCCACAGCTAACCTTTGTCCAAAAATCATTTGGGGGTCTGGTTTGAAGGAAACCGAGCTCCCTGAAACAGTTTCTTTTCTCTACAAAAGTATGTGGTCCCATTGTCCCTGTTTGTTCAGACTTCTTTGGTGAGGGCTTGGAAATTGAACACTACAGGACAGGTCAGAATAGATTCTGAATTCTGTTCACAGAGCCCCACTGTGCTGCTTTATAGGGGAGGAGTGAGCAGTGAGAAAAAAAAAAAAGCCCTCCCAGTGCCCATCCTCCAAGAGACCTGCTCCCTTTGGTCAAGCTCTTCCAATTTAGCTGGATAGAGAAACCAGGGTGTATTAGGAGCTTCCCACCCCCATAGGCTCAGGCTACAGCCTCTGCCTGTCATCCAGCTGAGCCAGGGGAGCATGATGCAAAAGACTTTCAGAACCTGAGGCAGGGAAAGGCCCAGAGAAGACTGAAGAAGAGCAGTCACCTTCTATTTTTGGAGCTCCAGCCCATGGTCATCTACATCCAAAAGAACCAGCTGTCCCAAGGACACCCACTTCTCTGTTTAGTCTCCCACTCCCACTTCTCAGCATTGGCTATATGGCCCCTAACTCCTCCGGTCTCAGTTCTCTGCCCTCCCCCAGCAACACCACTGCTACATGTGTAGCTTCCTAGTGTGTAGGACCTGATCAGAAACATTTCCTCATGTCCAGGCACCATGCTTGGAAGGACCTAAGAACCAGTGTGGGTCCCAAGAACCCTGGTGACACCCGAAGCCAAATGCCCAGAGATTGCCGAGGTGCCACTTGATTAGAAAAACTGCAACCCAGAGAGACCAGAAGTGTCTTGGTCTATCCTATCCCCTGGGTGTACATCTGGACACGATGGTGACCTCTCTAGGCCAAAGGGCATTACAACGCTGAAAAAGCCACATTTCTATAGTCTAGAAAAGAGTAGGAGCAGCCCTATAGCATCCTGAAGGAGCTGAGAGGGAAGCTGGATCAATGTTGACATGACTGTGGTACTTCCTATATGTTGTATCAGCCCAAATGTTCAAAGTTCACAATAATCACAGTGCATCTTATACCTCCTCCACGTCTCATCCTTTCTTTTCATGCCACCAGTCTGGAAGGGTGGAGTGGGGGGAGGGGAAAGAAGGGGGAGTGAGGAGGAAAGGGCCAAGATTGGGGGCCATGTTTACCAAGAAAGGCATGATTGGGAGGGAGATGCTTATAAGGCATTGACGCAGATGTAGAGACATACTTGTCTGTTGAACCAGAAATCTGTTTTCCTTGGCTTGTCTCCTTTGAAGGAAAGCTCTCCATCCTTGTCCTAAGCTCAGCGAGGTCTGCTCTCTCCTGGCTGGATTCAGTGAATCTGTCTTATTTGGTTTAAACTGTTTAATTGATGAGTTGAAAGAAGGAAAATTTTTCAGCATCCCTTTCAGCTGAATGCTATTTTATTTTAAAACCATACTTTGATATATTCTCTTGGCTTAGAGGGAACAGTCTCAGAGGGCCTGGGATGGATGTTTCTGGCCATTTAGTTTTGGGAATCTTACCCCTGCTTTTTCCCTCCTGTCTACATTGGCTCAGCCATAGAACTCATCTTGGCCAAGGGTGGAGAAGGCACAAGGAGGACAACCCTATCTCACCACCACCACTACAAATCACCCTTTCTGTAAGTGGGACTAAGTCCCCACGGTGAGTGAAGAAATGATGGAACTTCACCTTTAAAGATTCATTCCTTTGGGTTAACCGTTGCCTTCTTCCTCTTAAAAACCCAGCTATCCTTGGGAGAAATGAAATATTTAGCCCCAACAGCTCAGTGTGAATGAGTTTTTAAGATTGCTTTTTCCCCTTGGCCGCAGGGGGAATGGAACTTAATAAAAGAAATGGGCCCTCAGAGGAAGGGCAAAGACAAACCAGCAGAAAATGGAGGCTGTGTTTGCTTTAGTATTCCTCAGACCCTCAGACCATTTTGGAGCCTTATTGGGAACAATCATTGTTAAGGAGCCCTTTCCTGCTCCACCCTGGGCCTCTGCTTCTTTTAACATGGGGGCTTTCTCTTGTCCAGACTAATATCTCTAATTGGCTCAAATGGTTTGCTGTTGGGCCAATGAGCTGTGACCCCTGGGGAGTCAGTCCTCTGGGATTCAGAGGAAGATAGGGAGGAGAGAAGACAGAAAGTGGGGAATTGGGCAGACGTGACATAGCCCAGGAGTTGACTCATTACCTTTAATTTTTTTTTTTGGTGGCATTCAGAACTTGACAAGCAGCGGTTCTCAAAGCCTTTGTTTCCTTCCTTCCCTTAGAAATCCAGTAATAAAGCCCTTTTCCTTATGGACTGGGGTCAAAGTGGAATTTGCCCCCAACCTCCAGCATCTGGCTTATGAGGAAATATCTTGCCCTGGGAACCCCAATGTCCCTTTTCTTTAGAACCGAGTCCAAGCTTTCCCCAGAGGAACTAGGGCCCCAAGGGTGAGTGGGAAGTTTCTGTGGTAACAGCTGCCTCAGCAACTTCTTTCAGGAGCCAGATTCCATTTGGGACTCAGAAACCTCCAAATGGGGATAAGGGTTTCAGGGTTTGGGAAACTCACAAGATACAGGGCCTGGTTTGGCAGCCAAATGAGGCCTGTGGGTTGGAGGGCATTCCACATGGCTCCACATGTAGTCGTTTGGCCTCCCCACCTAGCTATATTTCATTCTCTCCTTCCTCCTTTTCTTTCCATCTCTCTCTTTTTCTTTCCTATCCCCCCTCCCCACCTCTCTTCCTTTCTCCTCTCTGGTCCCAAAAACTGCTGACCACCCTCACTGCTCTGGGCCTTCCTGACACTGCTCTCTCTTGGTTCTCTCTCTCTCTCTCTCTCTCTCTCTCTCTCTCTCTCTCTCTCTCTCTCTCTCTCTCTCTCTCTCTCTCTCTCTCTCTCTCTCTCTCTCTCTTTCAGGCTGCTCCTCCATCTCTTTTGGTAAATCTTTCTTCATGTCCTGCCCTCTAAGACTCTACCCTGGGCCCTTTCTCTCCCCTCTCTCTTGGTGATCTCTTCTGGTCTCACAGACTCATTCATTATCTCTATGTAGATAATGCCCAAATCTATAGAGCGAGGCTTGGTGTTTCTCCTGAACTCCTATAAACATCTAAAACTCAATCTGTCCAAAACAGAACTCATTTTCTTTTCCTCTAAAATCATCCCTTTTCCTAAATTCTCTAGTTTCCTTAACAGCAGAACCATCCTTCCAGACAATGGAGTTATCCCGGAATCTTCACTCTCCCTCATCAATCAACCATCAATCAAAAGGCATTTATTAAGTATCTACCATGTGCTAAGGTGCTGGGTATACAGAGACAATGATAAAAACAGCTCCTTCCCTCAAAGAACTTCTTTGGGAGGAAAAAACCCACACACATGTATCAGTATATAGAGAAAACATACAAAATAAATACAAAGTAATTTAGTGGGAGAAGCACAGGTGGCTGGGTGGATGAAGAAAGGCCTCATGTCCGAGATTGCACTAAAATGATCCTTTTAAGGAAATTAGGGATTCTAAGAGATAGAGTTAAGGAGGAAGTGAATTCCAGGCATGAGGAACAGCCTAGGCAAAGGCACAGAGATGGGAAGTGGACTGTTATGTGTCAGGAACAGCAGGGCCAGTGTGCCTACACTGTACAGCGTGCAAAGGGGAGTAATATAATAAACCTGAAAAAGTAGATTAGACACAGGCTAAAAGGCTTTAAATGCCAAGGAGGGAAGTTTGTATATTAAATCCTAGAAATAATAGGGAGACACTGGAGTTTATTGACCAAGGGAGTGACCCGTGAGACATGCTCTAGGTACATGTCACTTTGGAAGCTGTGTGAAGGATGGGTTGGAAAGGCTCCCACAGTGGAGACCAATCAGGCAAGAAAACCAATCAGGAGGTTACTGAAATCATCCAGAGAAGAGGTGCTGAGGGGCTATATGAATGAGGGGAGGGGCAATGGGAGTGAGAGATATTTTACAGGTAGAATTGACAACGCCTGACAACTAACTGGATGTATGGGATGAACAAGAATGAGGAATCAGGAATAATGTTGAAACTGGGAACGAAATTAGAATGTTAGGAAGAGGGAAAGATGGAAAATGAGTTCTCCTGGATATGATGACTTTGAATCCTTGTGGCACATCCAGTTGTAAATGTCTACTAGGTAGTGGGTAATAAAGAGACTGGAGCTCACAAGAGAGACTAGGGCTGGATATGTAGATGTGGGGGTCATCTTTGTGGAGATGATATTTAAACCCTATGGAAGCTGATGAAATAACCTAAAGCAGGAGTTCTTGGTCTGGAGTCTGTGAACTTTTTTTTTTTAATATTAGGATAACTGAGTTTCAATGTAATTGGGATCCTTTGTAATCATGTGTATTTTGTGCGTTTTAAAACATTCTAAGAAGGGATGCATAGGCTTTGCAAGACTGCCAACAGGGTCACAAAGGAGGTTAAGAAACCCTGTCCTAAAGATAGAAGAGGGGACACAGCTAGGCGATGCAGCTAGGTGGCACAGTGGATAGAGCACCAGCTCTCAAGTCAGGAGGACCAGAGTTCAAATCTGACCTCAGACCAAACATTTGACACTAGCTGTGTGATCCTGGGCAAGTCCTAAAAATAAATAAATAATAAAGATACGAGAGGACCCTGCATAGAGTCTTGGACTGCCCTCATTTTTGGAGAACAGGCTGTAGGAGCCAGAGAACCAAGAGAAACCTGTACCATTAAAAACTCAAGAGAAAGCATTCAGGAGGAGGAGCTCCTCAGCTGTCAAATATTTCAGTTTCTACATCTTGTTCATTCTACCTCCATTCACTAATCCTCTCCATTCATACAGCCACCATCCTTGTTAAGGCCCTAATCACCTCATCGCCCCTCACCTGGACTACTGCCATAGCCTTCTAATTGGTCTTTCTGTCTTGACAACCCCCTCCCCCAATGCGAACTCCACTCAGCCGCCAAAGGGCTATTCCTGAAGTATCCATCGGACCATGTCGTAACTCTGCTCCAAGTGCCCAGAGAGGGGCTTCCTATTGCCTCCAGGATAACATACAAACTCCTATGCTTGGCAACGAAAGCCCTTTGGAGTGTGACTCTGGGCTACCTTTCCAACTTTATTACACATTACTCCCATTCGTGAACTTCACCTTCCAGCCAACTGTCTTCTGGTTGTTCCTTACACATTTCCCTCCTCCATGCCTTTGTATATGCTGTTCCCATGCTCCAGTCTACTCCACCTATAAGGATCCCTAGCCTTCTTAAAAGCTCTACTCAAGTGTGAACATAAGGCCTTTCCAAATTCCCAACCCCTAGTACCTCTTTCCTACCAAATTCCCTAAGATATACTTGGTGTATATTTTATATTTATAAATGATTCCACCTCTGTATTATAAATATAATTATAATATTGTATTATAAACATATTTTGCATTTATATATATACACACATATATACATATATATACATATATACATATATATATACACATATATACATATATACATATATATATATTTGTGTTGTTTGCCCCAACAGCCAAGCCTTCCTTTGAGGGCAAGGGACTGTTTGGGTTTTATACTATATGCCCAGTTCTTGGCACATGGTAGATCCTGAATAAATGGCTGTGGATCTCACTCTCTTCCCTCTTCTTGGGTTTCTTCTCCCTTTCCCTCTATTACTTTCTCTCACTCTTCTCTCCTCTTTCCTCTTCTCTCATCTCTCTTCTTCCTTCCTCCACCTCCTCCTAGGAGGAAATGGATGGGTATGGTGACACTCACCACTCAGCTACCCCTCATAATAGGGTACTGTGGTTAATAAAGTCATTCCTTCCCCTCCCAGGGTTGGGAATAGCTTTGAGGAATTATGGTGTACTGACCCCCGTTCTGAAGGATGACCAGTAATCCTCCTGGAGAGAGATACTGTATAATTCAGGGAGGCTGATGTAGGCAGGCTTTTCTTTATGTAGTAAGCATATGCAAAGGTATGTTTGAATGTTGTTGAACTTGGACTCTGATTCTTTGACAAATCACTATAGGGCATACACTAGTAAAACAAAGGCTTCCCCACC